TGTCAAGGATGAAAGAAAATTAGTAGATATGTCAAGTGAACCTGGCACAGTATGAGCCCAGACATGATCTCTATGTTGAGTCTGGAGGCATGATTGCAAGAATGAAACATAGGGAAGAGAAAATTTCAGCGCACTGAATATCATATCCATTTACAAAGAATACAACATTTTCTGAAACTTTAATTCATTTTAATAGTGCTTGTGTTTTACCAAATGAAAAAATAAGACTGCTGTGCTAGGTGTTTCTTGATTTGGCCACTCATGGCAATCTGATTAATGTAACACCCTGTCCAGCAAAAGTAACCTGGTCTCCGCAGCAGGTGATACAATTGAAAAGAGGTGGGATTGTCTAAATTGTGTTGGGCTGATTCTCTTGATGGGGGTTTCAGAGTGATATGGCATAAAGTGTACATTCTCTTGCTACCTCCCTCCCTACCTACCTACCGACCTCACGACCCCGTCGGAACTGACACTGAGAAAGACGAGGCCCTACGTTTCCCCCCCCGGGGGTGGTGACCTTCTCTGGTGCCGGCGGCCATACAGACTATTCGTTGGTCTCCCGTCTGCGCGCGCGCGCTCATTGCTGTGCCCCTCCTTGAGAAGAGGCAGGCGCGATAAGGCCCAAGTTGAACGTGGTGCGACTCATGTTTCAGTACCTGCGCGCCGGTCACGTGAGGTGATTGAGTTCTGACACATCACAACGGTAAGTATGTACAGCTGTTTTCCCACCTTCGAGTGTTCTCTGCCCTCTGCAGTTCCGATATTGATGATGTAATTAAAAATTTAATGGAAATACCAGATGAATGTTAAATAAGAAGGAATGTCACACTTGTTTCATCATCCGTTGTTGACTTTTTCAGAATTTATTGATATTTTTCAATCATTCAAATTATTCATCCATTTTCTCATCATCTTTATTTGTGCACCTTCATTCTATCTGCAATTGTTCAAATCCTTGTGATGAGAATCTCAATTTTTGGCAGAGAACAACAAAAGAATCAAGCATTGAAATTCCCTTCCCCCTGCAAGGCAGTTACTGTACTTTTAGTTATTCGTCACAAAACGGTGAAAAGTCCAGCATATCTATTTTTCCATTTCCTTGTGCTCCATGTAGCTGTTTTATATGTTGGACCCTGCATGTCTAATAAAAATGCAGCCAAAGCCATGGAGTTGAATTCAAACAGCTGGGTTGATCACATTTTTGGATCTATAGAGTGTAATTACCTTTAGTTTCACTGATTGTCAACTATGTATAATGACTCAAGTGGTTATTGTGAAGAACTTACGTGGTGGATGAAATGTAGAATGGAATGGCTTGCTGTGATGAGGAATTTAATTAAAGGCAAAGGTATGAACAATAGCATTGGGGTGCAGAAGTTAGAGGAATTCTATTGGTACCTGGAAAGAATATATGAGGCGCAGTTATGTGATTCCAACTACAAGTTCATTGCAAGGACATCATACTTATTGAGCGAAGAGCCCTCCAGAAAACGATCAACTCGCACCAATATAGAATATATTTAGTATGCCCCAATTTGTTTTCTGTAGTAAGGTTCACAATAAATAGGTGCGGCCTTGTTTTATTATTTTTTTCTTGAAAAGTGCACCTGCTTTAGAATTGAAGTAAAAAACATTCTTTTAATCCATGATACCTCATGACGAAATGTCAGGTACTACAAGCTCTGGAAAATGCCTGCTGAATGATGCAATACTCCTGGAGAAATGATGCAATATCGTCTATGCTATATATGTATATTCTGTGCAGTAGATATGTTCCCCCTTTTCTCTCTGTGTGCGTTTCACAGATATGATGCTCAGACTTCCTGGATTCTCTTGACGTGATGAAAGAATCACCCAGGTGTAAAATCGAGCGCGGGCAATGGTGTCAGGGACTTACTTTCAGGTTTGTTTGACTCACATGTTACAGATCCATGGAGATCTTTTCTTCATAAAATTTCTTACTGCGTAAATATTTGGGTTAACATGATTCCTCTTGAACATGAATCATAAATTGGGGAAGTGATGCTCAATACCATGGAAATTGGGAGAAGATATTTTATCCATATACAGAAATTAATGCTGGTAGGCAAATTTCCCTCAGATATTAAATTTTCATGTGGCTAATGACTTCTTATGCAGTCCACTATCCGA